CTCGCAGACCTACCTGCCTCTGCTTCCCCAGGGCTGGAATTAAAGGCGTGTATCACCTTCTGGCCTTGGTTTTTTTTGTGTGTGTGTGTTTTTTAAGACAGGGTCTCATGCCGGGCGGTGGTGGCGCACGCCTTTAATCCCAGCACTCGGGAGGCAGAGCCAGGCGGATCTCTGTGAGTTCGAGGCCAGCCTGGGCTACCAAGTGAGCTCCAGGAAAGGCGCAAAGCTACGCAGAGAAACCCTGTCTCGAAAAACAAAAAAAAAAAAAAAAAAAAGACAGGGTCTCACTTTGTAGCTCCAGGCTATCCTGAAACCATACAGCCCAACCAACACAGCCTTAAATAGGCCATGATACTCCTCCTTCAGCTTAGTGTGCCTATGACTGAATCAACATCTTCTGTACTTCATTCTATGTAGCCATCCAGCTGGTTCTGTTCAGTTACATTGGAAGAAGAAAGAAAAGGCACTTGATGCTGATTCATGGTGATTGTCTGTCTGTCTGTCTGTCTGTCTGTCTGTCTGAAGACATGATCTCACTTAGGTAGCCCTGGCTGGCCTGGAACTTGCTACGCAGACCAGGCGGTCCTAGGATGTACAGCAATCTTTCTACCTTTTTCTCTCTTACAAGTGTTGGGATTACATGCATGTAGCACCACACCCCGTTTCCAAGGGTTTAAAAGAATGAATTTTAAAGGATACGATGTGGCTTCAGAGAGGAAAGAGTAGGTACTCAAGGTGAACAGCGGAGTTACTGTACAAGAAGTCTGCAGCTTATGACTCCAGCCAGTAACACATACAGCACGAGAAAGGAGAGGCAGCAGTCGTCTGTAGTCACACAGCAGCAGAGGAGAGAGTCCATCTCATCTGCTCTTTGGGGACAGGGTCTTTGTCTGTAGCCCAGGCAGTTTCAAACTTACAATGCTCACACCTCAGCTTCGGAAAAACTGAGCTAACAGGCATCTAGCAGCTTGCCTATCTCTTGCTGTTGACTTTCTATTGTAGTAACACACCATTAGAGCAAAAGTTAACATCTTTACCTCAACTATCCTAAAAAAGAAAAAAGAAAAAAAACTGTCCATTTTACAAATATATCTAAAAATACCCAGAGAAGGCCAGGTGCGATGGCAGGTGGATCTGAGTTTGAAGCCAGCCTGGTCTACATAGTGAGATCCTGTCTCCAAAGAGAGATAGAACACATTAAAATAAAAAAGTATGCAGGGCCAATGTTGAGAATCCCCAAGAAGCCCAGCACAAAGGCACACGCCTGTAATTCCAGCACCTTTGAAGCTGAGGCAGGAAAGCTACTGAGCTCGAGGCCATCAGCCATACAGCAAGTTCAAGACCAAACTAAGCTTATAAACTCTCTTCCCCTACCTGGAGGAGGGAAGGGAAGAGAGAGGGAGAGGAGATGGGGAGAGGAAGAGAAGGGTGGGGGAGAAGGATGACTCCAAGCTGGGGAAGGAGCTCAGCTGCAGAACGTTTCCTAACCATGGGGAAGGCCTGGAGCTCAGTGTCCAGGACTGGGGTGGAGCAGCACTGCAGCACGGCGACAGGTCAGCAGGTGACAGCACCCACTAACTGCCACCCATGCCCAACACCACCACTCTCTTTGATCCCACAACAGTCTATTAGTAAAAATTTTTTAAGAAACAGTTGGAGAGATGGCTCAGCAGTTAAGAGTACTTGCTGTTCTTGCAGAGGAACTGAGTTCTGTTCCCAGCACCCACAAGGTGACTCACAGCCACGTGTAAGCCCAGTTCCAGTGTACTTGATATCCTCCATTACTACACATAAAAACCCCACAGGCAAATGCCTGAACTCTTGGTCTCTCTCTGCTTTGGCACACCGTTTTTGGGAAGGACTGGGAGGTGTGTCACCGAAGGGGAGAGGGGTCCAGCGTTAAGGCTTCAACACCCCACACTATTCCCGTTTAGCCCTCACCGCCTCCAGGCCGTCCCCGTCTGTGAGCAGAGCTCTCCGCGACAACCCCCGCTGATGGTCACCGACTCCAGTCCTCCATCGCAAACCCCCCTCCCAATAAACCCTTCCTGTAACAAACTGCCTTGGTCGTGGTGTTTTGTCCCAGTGATAGAAAAGGACCCGCGACACAGTGAGTCTGGGAGGAAATCAGCGTACTACAGGCTGAGACAAAGCAACTGCTCTCTACGGCAGCACCGTCCACAAGGCAAACAAATGGACAAGGTGGGTTCTTATTCCTCGGATGAAAAAGACGGCAACTAGCCAGGACTGGAAATCCGGTGCACTTTAAGGGAAATCAAGGTCTGTCCCAGAACCCACTGACTCTTTTACCTGCCCCCGCCAATATTAAAATGGAGAATTCAGTCGGGCGGTGGTGGCGCACGCCTTTAACCCCAGCACTCGGGAGGCAGAGCCAGGAGGATCTCTGTGAGTTCAAGGCCAGCCTGGACTACCAAGTGAGTTCCAGGAAAAGGCGCAAAGCTACACAGAGAAACCTGTCTCGGAAGAAAAAAAAAAAAAAAAAAAAAAACACCGGAGAATTCACCTACTCTCGGAGAGGGTGCTTAGCAGCAGACAACTCCAACACACATTTACTCAGTAATCACTTCATGCTGCACTGTGTCAGGTGCAACTATTTTAGCCTCCGATAAAAAGCTGGCTGTTCTTTCCCTATAGAAACCCCAGTCTGGAGGAGGATTAAGAGTTACTTTTTTTTTTTTTTTGGCGGGGGCAAGGCTGTAGTGAAACCTCAATGTTGAAAAGATGACCCTGCTGGCAATGTGGGAGATGACTTTATCTTCTAAGCCTACTGAAAGCAGACACCACAGCAGAAATCCACCCAACTCTTGATGGCCTGTGCATGATGGGATATGTAGTCTTGAGGAAAGCAGGTGCAGCACTTTTTAGGAGAAAGATGAGCCTGAAGCCAGGTGTGGTGGCGTTTTTAGGATAGGGGCAAGAGGATCTGAAGCCCAGCCAGGCTACAGGAAACCCCATCTCAAAAGAAAAAAAAAAAAAGGAGGCTAGAGCAAGAAGATTTTGAGTTCGAGGATCTTGAGTTCGAGGTCAGCCTGGACGATACAGAGGAAATGGTTTAAGAAAAAGAAAAGCCCAGCCTGGGCTACAGAGTGAGAGCCAGAACTACAGAGAGAAACCCTGTCTCGGAGGGGGAGGAAAAGCTTCAATATTAAATATTTATGTAAGTATTTTCCATAATGGCAATTGAACATGGCAAGCACTGAGCCATATCCCAAAGCCTTAACTAAAAACTGCTTTAACCTCATTGTGTAACAGCCCACAATTCTCCAAATGTATGGCCCCTCCAGTCAAAGGAGCCGGACCCAACTGACACCCCCTCAAAGTTAACAGCATGATTACGTAACTATGATAAATTGTTTCTAAGAGAGAACATGAATTCTAGGGATGTATAAATGTCATCTATGTGTTATCAGTACTGACTGTTAGCCACAGAATGCCCCAACACAAAATATCCCACGCTGAAACACAATTTGCTTCCTGTCTCTAGTATATCCTGATTCAGGCCGTCTTCACTACAGGACTTTTGAGTGTGACCCATCTAAGTCAGGCAGATAAGCTTGGAATGTATCGTTCCCACTGGGTCAGAAGCAAAGATAAGTTACAGTGTAATTGTTTTACTGGTACTTTTGAATAGTTCTGAATTAAGGGCCATTGTGCCAGAAGGGCAAAAAAACAAAACAAAAAAACACCACACACCTATTGAACTATTTCTGTGTTATATTAGTTTGCTGTGGTAATAATTTGTAAATTACCCAACCCACCACTCTAAGTGAAAAACCAGAAATGCTATTTGCTCTCCCTTCCCATGCAAGTTCTTATTTGGTCGCCCTCACTCTAAAGAGTCGACGCTTTTGTTAGGTTAAGCCGCCCCTCAAGTGGTATAACTCTCCAACAGTGGTTACTTTCTCATTTGAGTCTTAATTTCTGTAATTATCTAAAGCTGACAATGATGATAGATCCTAGTGAAATTATTCTCGTTCATTTACTCTCTTTTTAATGGAGGCCTCTGCAGCTTAATGTAAAACATTGTATGCCATGCCATGGACAAAAAATAATGGCCTGTCTCACTCAAGTAAGCACTTACGATCGTTCTGCAGCCACTGAGTGACCTTGGTTAGGAACCGATGGTTCTGAGGTGGGGGACGAGAAGAAATACCTTGGGACCCAGGACCCGTACTCCGCCTCCTTCCGAAGGCTCTAGGATGCCTGCCCGATCTACAGACAAGGGGACGTCTACACTGACTCACCTAGATACTGAAAGATACCGATCGGAGGGGGAGGGGATGGGCAAGTCCTCCCCATAGGAAGTGCAGCAAGCACACGGAGGTAAGGACGTGGCCCTGAGCGGGAACCTGGGCTTTCTCCTTCCCGGATCTGCCCCTGCCCCCACCCCGACTCCGGGCGGAGCGCCTCGGGGCTGCCACCGACGGGCCAGGAGGCGGCCGCAGCCAGGCCCGCCGGGGGAGTGGAGGGCGCCCGCGCTGCGTAGGCCCAACCGCCCCCCGGCGCCCCGCCGGTCCTCCGGCCCCCCGATCCCGCAGAAGAGTGGCCTCACCAGGGGGCGAAGAACTCGACTAGCATGAGGCCCGCGGAGCCCGTGTCGGAGACGCGACTCTCGAAGTTTTCGTCCGTGAGTTCCAGCACGTCGGAGGCGGCGGCGAGGCGGGCCGAGGCGAGCAGCAGCGCCACGCCCGGGAGCAGCGTTAGGCGGCTGAAGCGCATGGCGGCGAGACGCGGCGAGGGGGCGGTCGGAGGGTCGGGACCCGGGCCGGGGGGCTACTGAGAAGGGAGAAGCCGCAACCTGCAGCCGCTGCCTGCGCTCGCGCGTCTGGCCCGGGCGGACCTGCTGCCGAGGTCCCAACCCCCTAGGCCGGCTCGGGGGCCGCAGTGTGGCAGCCGCCGATTGGCTGCATCCCCGCTGCGTCGGGCGGGATGAACCAGCTGGTAACTGCCGATTGGCCGGCGCGCGGGGCCGGGCGGAGCGGACGCGGTGGCGGAGGCCGTGGCGGGGGTCGGCGGGAAGGGAGGCTCTGCGCTGCCGGAGCGGCCCTGGGCTCGCTCGCTCGGCCTGCAGAGGGGGAGTGGAGCGCAGGGCGCCGGCGCGGGAGGCGGAGGGGTGAAGTCAGGGCTGAGTGGGCGGAAGTGCGCTGGGGCTGAAGTCAGGCCCGGAAGCGGGCCGGAGGGGAGCTGGAGCTGCCGCGCTCCCTCCTCCCTCCCTCGCTCCCTCCCTCCGGGGCGTTGGGGCGCTCGCACACTTGGGCACCGTACGACACGTTTTCCAAATGTCAGGCTGTTGACTTGTCCAATTCTAGGGCGTAGTCACCCTACATCCTGCTGCTGCCCTACCTCGTATCCTGCTTGGTCAGGTTCACGTGAGGTCTGTCTTCTTTGTCCAGACTTAGGCCTTCTGCCCCCCTTGCCTGCTACGTTTTCACTGATGGCTGTGTTTTGTTCGTTGGGAGAGGGGTGGGTAATTGAGGATTGAACCAGGAACCTTGTACAAGGCTGGGCAAGTGATCCATCGCCGAATTATATCGCTGGCCCTAGTCCTTTTTTGACTTTTTGAGACACCATCTCACTAAGTCTCCCAGCTTGGCCTCGAGTTCATTCTATAATATTGTTCTATAATCCTGGCAGGCCTAGAACTTCCCCGTCCTCTGGCCTCAGCACCCTAAGTATCAGGGACTGGTCTGCACCACCAGGCTCAGGCTCAGCTTTTGCTTTCTTTCTTTCTTTTTTTTTTGGGGGGGGGGGGCAAGATCTCACTATGGCGCTGACTGGCCTGGAACTAGCTATGTAGACCAGACTGGCCTCGAACTCAACAGAGATCCACCAGCCACTTGAGATTAGAAGTATGCATCTCCACTGCCAGCCTTTTAAGCTGAATTTTTAAAAAGAAATATTTAATCACAAATGCTGTCAGAAAGTGAAAATACCTGGATATTTAGTTGACTGGAAATATCTTCTGCGATTCCTCTATCTTTTGCATAAACAAACAAAAAACCAAAACCAAAGAACAAAAAAAAATTTGAGTCTTTCAATGCGTTTGTACTTAACTGCTCGTGGTTTCTTCGTGTGGGCTCTTTAGATCTCTGAAAGGCAAAGAAGTGGGGGGGGGGGACTCTAACCTTAATGAAACTCTTGAGAATGAGATGACCCCTGGTTCTGTTTTCTTAACAGACATGGCACAGGACCAAGGACACGTACAGCTACCCAGAGCTGATGCTATTCGTTCTCGGCTGGTCGACACTTTCTCCCTCATAGAGCATTTGCAAGGCTTGAGCCAAGCCGTGCCGAGGCACACTGTCCGGGAGATACTTGGTTAGCAGCCTGTTGGGTCACCACTAAATGTGACATTCCTGTCCACATCCTCAAAAGATAGAAAGTGGAGACCTCTTGAAGGGTGGAGCCAGGAATGGTGGGGTATATGACTGAGTTGGGGGTGGGGGTCACAAGTTTGAGACTAGCCTAGGCTACATAGCAAGATCCTGCTTCAAAACAACCACAACCACAGTAACAAAATAGGGCTGGCCAGATGGCTTAGCGAGCGAGCGAAGGTGTGTGCTGCCAGTACTGCTAACCTGAGTTTGACTCTCAGGACCTACCCGGAAGAGGCACCAGGAGTTCAAGGTCATTCTTGGTTATATAGTTTAAGGACAATATGGGTTGTATGAGACTCTATATCAAATAATGGGACCAGTGAGATGGCTCAGGGAGCAAAATGTACTTTGCTGCCATGGCTGAAAACCTGAGTGCCATACCCAGGCCCCACATGGTGTAAGAAAACAGTCTACTCCTGCGGTTGTCCACACACACACACACACACACACACACACACACACACACACAGAGTTTTTTGTTTTTTTGTTTTTTTTTAAAGTACAAATAAAAGGACAATTTAGGGATGAGACGCTACACTAAACTTGATAAATTCAGGGCTTTAGACCTCTATCTCTTCCTCTGAGTCCTAGTTAGGTAACCCGGACTTTGCCAAGTTTCCACCAAAGGTATTTAAAACTTGGAGGTTTCTGGGCTGCTTATGGTGGCACATGCTTTAAATCCCAGCGCTTAGAAGGCAAACAGGCAGGTGGATCTCTGAGTTGGAGAGAGCCCGGTCTACACAGCCTGTTCTAAGCCAACTGGGACTTGAGGTTTGTACCTGCTGCTTTCATGAGCACAGTCAATGCGAGGCATGAACTATACATTTTAACTTCACACTAGTAGAATTCTTAGTCGCTCTGAAGAAGCAGCTCACAAGGCAGAGCTGCTACTTACTGCATGTAGACAGTCCATTATTTCACCAGTATCCCTACCCTCTACTCTACCTGCTGTCCACAGTCCCCCAGTCTGTCTGTCTGTCTACTCTGTTTCGGGGGGGAGGCTGGGGACAGAAGGCAGCCTTATGTGTTGCCCAGTCCTGGTGGACTCAAGCTGAATGACAGGCTCGCCCAGGTACCTTCTCCATTTTTCTTCCAGATCCTTCTCGACAGAAGAAACTTATGTCAGGAGACCAGCACCAGCTTGTGCGCTTCTCCATAAAGCCCCGGCACATGGGGTACATCACACACTCCCAGCGAATGCTCAGCAGGCTCCGTGTGAGGTGCAGCCAGAGGCCACCTCTGTCCCTGTGGGCTGGATGGGTTCTTGAGAGTATCCTTTTGTGTTACTTGTTCTTATTGTGGCTCTCCCTTATCTATTACTGACTTATTTTCCCTCTCTCAAACTATTTTCTTCGAATTCTCATATCTGACACTGCTGACCTTACTATTTCAGCTGCATAAGTGAGAAAGTACTCCATCTGTGTGTTTCCTTAAAAGAAAACAGGTCCCATCTTCTCAAAATTCATCATCTCCCTCATCTTTCTGAATACAATTGTACTGATGGTCGAAATAGGTGAGAACCGGTGCTGAATGAAAAAGGTAGTGTGTGGGAGATACTTTTCTTCCACCCTGATCATTTTATATTTTCAGATATCATCTCATTGTGATGGGGACAGATTTATTTATTCATTCATTTTCTGAGACCAAGTCTCACATAACCTACACTAGCCTCAAATTCCATATGTGGTAAGGATGACCTTGAACCTGACCTCCTACTTGTACTTTCCATCTGAGATTACAGATGTGCACCATTATGCTTAGCTAAGAGAAAATGGACTCTGAAAAACCTTTTTTTTTTTT